GCCCCGTTTGGTCCGTCTCATGTGACGTATCGGCATTTAACGAAAGGGTTAGTTGACGCGGGTAGGATAGGTGAGGCCGTGGATTTACTTAGGGAAATGTTGAATAAGGGGCACGGGGCGGATTCACAAGTTTACAATAATTTGATTCTAGGGTTTTTGAATTTGGGGAATTTGGATAAGGCCAATGAGCTTTTTGACGAGCTGAAAGAGAGGTGTTTGGTGTACGATGGTATTGTGAATGCGACGTTTATGGATTGGTTTTTTAGTCAAGGGAGGGAGAAGGAGGCTATGGAATCGTACAAGTCGTTGCTCGACAGACAATTCAGGATGATTCCTGGCACTTGCAATGTGCTTGTGGAGACGTTGCTTAAGCACGGGAAGAAAACGGAGGCTTGGGCGTTGTTTGAAACCATGTTGGACGCTCACACCCCGCCCACTTTCCAAGGGGTGAATTCAGACGCTTTTAACATAATGGTTAACGAGTGTTTCAAGTTGGGGCAAATCTCTGAAGCATTTGACGTGTTTAAGAAAGTGGGGAAGAAGCCTGGGTCGAAGCCATTCGCCATGGATGTGGCCGGGTACAATAACATTATCACTAGGTATTGTGAGCTTGATATGATGGAGGATGCAGAGAAGATGTTTATTGAATTGACGTCCAAGTCGTTGTGCCCGGATGTTAACACATACAAAACCCTTATCGATGCTTATTTAAAGGTGGGGAAGGTTGATGATGCATTGCAGAAGTATACCAAGATGGTTGAGTCTGGTTTGAGAGTGATTCCGGAATATGCCAATAGATGGTTTAGTGCATTGATTGAGAACGGTAAAGTTTTTGACTGTGCTCCGATTTTGACAAAAATGTGTGAAAGAGATCCAAAACCCGATGCAGTGAGCTATGACATGGTGATTAAAGGGCTTTGTAAGGAAGGTAACTTCGATTTGAGTATAGATTTAGTGGGTCAGATGTTGAGGTATGGTGTTGGTGTTGCTCCTAGATTGGGGGAATTTTTGAATGATGCATTTGGGAAAGTGGGAAGAGGTCAGGAGATTGAGAGGCTTTTAGCGATGAGGGGACCGGGTTATGGTGGATATTGGAGGCCGTCAGGACCAGATACAGTGGGACCCCCTCGAATGCCAGGACCAGATACAGGGGGACCCCCTCGAATGCCAGGACCTGTATCAGTTTAATTTGAGGTACAATATCACCATTTTAAATTAGCTCATTCTCATGTATCGGGTAGTTTTATTTGATTTGGGCAATGAGATCTAGATTTTTCATGTGTGATTACTGATTAGTGTCTCATTATGCACCAGTCTGAGGGATGAGGTGTTTTGTTGCAGTTAAGCTATGATCATGCGGTAGTCGTTTTTTGTAGTGGTATCAATTAGTCTGGTAGTGGCTTGAATCTTTGCACACAACCATGCACCTTTGTAGCTGATGATAACATTGCTAGTTATTATTGGGATTTGGGATGTCTTCATGTTTATTGATAATGTTTTGATTAAATAAGTTGCCATGATGGCTGTGTTGCTTTCGTTGGGTTGTTTGGGCATGTTTTTTCAGAGCATGTTTTGTGCAAAACAGATTGCATAACGGGCAACAGGAAAACGACATGGGGGCATATTTATTCGTCTAATCACACGCCATTGTTTGCCTATGTTATGCACCTGTTTTTGAGCATTTTAAATACTTTTCTTGGATCTGGAGGAGTTGTTTTCTCCTTTGGTTTGTAGGTTTATCTCTATCATGAGAAGTCTCAATTTCTTCCATTTCAAGTAGGTCAGATCTTAGAAACATAATGTGCAAGTGTGAGTGAGCGTGAAAAATGCCTTTCAAAAACATCCCAAGCTACTAAAATTCGTGAAAGCGGGAGGAGTGAGTACAGGAACGCAGAGTAAAGAATGAGAATGGGAGCAAAAGTCCTATGGGAGGATTATGTGACCCTAGGGTCAGATTACTTTCATGTCGGTGTCGGTTATAGTTTTTTCTTGACATGGTTGTTCTGAGTCCGTGTGAGTGAGGATAGTAAAAGTTTGAATGAACAATGTTTTTGTACCTAAAAGGGCGGCATCATGGTTCTATTCACGCACAGTGTCATAATCAGAGAAAGGGAAAAATTGGTCCCCGCATTTATTTTCTTTTTTGGGTCACTGCACATATTTATGGATTCAATCATGTTCGGATTGTGCCGTAGAGATATATGAGGCTCTAAAGTCACTTTGCTTGTGTTGCTAACACTTGCATGAAAATATCCGGGTTTCTAGACATGATAGTAGATCAGATCCAAATGTACAAAACCAGAGTACTGGAAGCTCAATTTTGGAATCTCAAGTCTTTGTCAAGTAAGGCTGTATTTGGATCACAGATTGATGGTTGGCTTTATTAAATGAAAGAAAAATGCTAGGGAAATCTTGGCCTTTCACTTCACATCTTGTCTTCGGACCCAACTTTTGGTGTACCGGTTACCTATTTTCCAGTGCATTTCTAGTCACATATCTGAACCTGAAAATCTCAAGACATAATCAAAATAGCTGAAAATGTACCAGAACAGAGGCACACTGAATAATGGGTACAAAGTAGGGGTGTCGGTTTGGCCGGTTTGGTTATTGGTCATTTTGTAAACAAACTGAACGGTTTTTTCCTGTGGTATAATTCTTAGTTCGGTTTTATGGTTTTGGGCTCACACCATAATTTTCTTCAGCAGCACAACCACCAACCATAATTTGCAGATGACATTGTCCTCGTGGATGAAACTGCTAGAGGTGTTAATACGAAACTAGAAATTTGGAGGGGAAGCATTAGAGTCAAAAGGTTTTTGAATAAGTAGGAGTAAAACTGAGTATATGGTGTGCAAGTTTGGTGGTACCAGTAGTGCGCATGAAGAAATAGTGATGATCTAAGACCAGGAGATACCTAAGAGTGATTATTTTAAGTATTTAGGTTCAATTATTAGTAGTGATGGGGAGATTGCCGATGATGTGACCCATAGGATCCAAGTGGGGTGGCTGAAGTGGAGGAGCGCTACGGGTGTACTGTGTGACAAGAGGGTACCTACAAAATTGAAGGGAAAATTTTATGGAACTGCCATCAGACCAGCGATGCTTTACGGGACGGAATGTTGGTCTATTAAGAAACAACAGGTGAACAAGATGAGTGTAGCAGAAATGAGAATGTTGAGGTGGGTGTGTGGTAAGACTAGACGAGACAAGATTAGAAATGAAACAGTTCGTAAGATGGTAGGTGTAGCACCTATAGAAGAGAAGTTGAGGGAAAATAGGCTAAGGTGGTTTGGGCATGTCTACCGTAGACCAGAAGATGCGGTGGTTGAGAGAGCGGATAGAATAGTTTTGGATAGCAATGCTACGGGGAGAGATAGACCGAAATTGACATTAGATGCTATGGTGCGCAAAGATATGAGTATTTTAGGTCAAGTGGCCCTTGATAGAGCTCAATGGCGGAAACGGATTCATGTAGCCGACCCCAAGTGATTGGGACATAAGGCTCGGTTTGGTTTGGTTTGGTTAGCACAACTACCAACCATTTCTTCACCATCGTCCATCTAGAAAATAGTAGTTTGGTTCATAATGAGATCGGTGACAAAAGAAACAAACTGAACCCAGCGTTGAAACCCCAAGCTCATGAAATCTCAGATTCTTAGATTTTAAATTGATTTCAGGGTTTAAAGACTCCTATACATCAACACTCTGATTTCTTTAGAAGTAAAATCCCCAAATTTTGACACTTCGGCGTGTAGAAATCGATCTTTGTGTTCTTGTCAAGCTTCTTTGTTCTTCCCTTCACCTCTTCACTGCTCCGGGTGATCGATCTTTGAGAGAGAGAGTGAGGGGTTGATATCTTCAAGAAACCATCTCTCTCAGCCGGTGGTAGAAAACGTGAGGGAAAGTGACTGAGTGGCACTTGTTGAAAGAGAAATAAAAAATGACAGAGAGCTTAAGGGATATTGAAAAGTTTGAATTGGGTTAGAGGGCTTTGCATGAGTTAGGGCCTCAGGGTTTGGATGGTTGTGATCTAAGTCATGCACAGTCCATATCTAAAAAAGAAAAGATTGACTATCGTTTGGATCTGATCCTACACTGCTGGTCACTACCTTCGTGGCTCAACCCTATTACATAAGTCGATTCAGAACAGTTCATTTAACCTCATAATGTTTGGTTGGGTTTGGTTTCAAATGTTTCAGAACCCCCTAAAACTGATACCGAACCAAAATACATTCAATTTTTCAGAAAAATTAAATCAACCTAAATTGACTCGGTTTTGTCAGGCCATTTGCTTTGTAGGTTAAACTTTCAGTCTTCCACCCTTGCAGAGGACTTGGCTCCCTTTTATGTGACTGGTGCAGTAAAACTATGGTACATTTTATGTATACCAAATGTACACCACGTTGTGGGGAACCCATCTCGGGATCCCACACAAATGATCGGAGCCGCCCAATATGTTTAACATGTTGTTTTAAGGATCCCTATAAAAAATCATCCGTGTTGTTTGTTCAGGAAAACATTGCGAATTCATGCGAATTTACCCCATCGTGATCGTCGCGGAGTTGGCAATAAAATGCATTGGAAAGCTACATTAGCAGATGCCCCAATTAAGCGGAGCAGCCAACTGAGAAGCAAATGGCAAGAAAAAGCGACAGAGATTATAAACAAGCCCTGTGGACAAGTATTGTCGCCAAGCTTCTATCAGGTTTCAGTGTCAGTGATTTTTCAACACAAAGGGAATTCTGTTCTAGGCATCGGTGAGAAAGTTACAAAGTCCATGATCTCCTACAGCTTCATTCTCTGTCAGTTGAGTTCTTCAACCACAATATACTGCTAGGGAGCTGAAGGAAAACTTCTTCAAGTTTATCATCCATCACAATCGGGCAGATTTAAGTGAGGAACAGGAGGGTCACGTTACCCTCGTGAAATTATTGGAATTATGTTTTTTTAACCGAGAAATAAGTAATATATATAAAATTTACCCAAATCATAGCAAGACTGGCGCCTTGTACCAGTGGTAAGGGTGTGGGCTTCTATGCCATAGGTCGCAGGTTCGAACCCTGCTAGCTTCCTCCGACTTTTCTTTTTGTTGATGATGCTCAAACGGCTGGAAACCAAAAAATTTCTCCTAGTTTGCAGCTAACGGGAGTTGAACCAAGCCCATCAGGAGCTTGTATCATTGTAGTACCACAATGCCAACAAATAGCTTTCTTTTATAGTTACACAACTAAATGTAATAAAGCAGTATTCTGTTTATTTTTTTCTTAATGTTTTCACTATCTGCTGTTTGATCAAAGTTATGATTGAAAGGTGACCCCCCTGTTATTCCTGGATCCGCCACTGATCACAACAGTCATTGGTTTGGGTGTGCTTGGGCCTAGTGTTGTGAGTAGCCTGTGTCTTGATTTAGCCTATTCTATTCAGCCGTGCAAAGTTGAACTGAAAGCTGTGGGTGCCTGTTTTCTGGGACTGGGATATATGCCTACGGTTTCATCAGAAAAGACTTGTTCACACGGTGGAGAACCAACCCAGGTTTCAGCTGAAAAGGTTGGTAAATCAGTCCAACTTTTCTTGGGAAAATTGGGCTTGCCGTATTCCCATCCCAACACATTGAACCGGGAGCATTTTCTCAAAATCTGCATCCCATCTCCACCATTTGAGTGCAGAAGAAGCCAATCTCATTCCAGTCTAACTACTATATCAGTATCCAGGGATATACTTGGCACGGATACCGAAAGGTAGATTCACAGGAATATTTGATAATCCCATCTTTATAGGTTTTCCTGGTTACACATTACTGGATTTGAAAATTTCTATTAGAGCCATGATTTTGATTTCTTTTCTTTTCATATGAAATCAAGTAAAGGGGCATACACTTAGTTTATTGACTACTTGGTAGAGGCAATCAGACCACAGAAGTATATACATTCCCATACTACGTGCTTATATATGGTCACAGGTCATGGAAAGGTTAGCTCAACTGTGGTGGTTTTTGTATCCTTCACGGCGAATGTCTTCTCAAGGCTACTATTCAAAGAAAAATATCATGTCTAAAGTGCCAACAAAAGAAATTGCTTGATTTTGTCAAATCGACATATTCAACAGGGACAGTTGGCTCTTGCTGTCGTGTAACCGTATATCAGTACATTGATGTTTTGACTTGTGAGTTCAATTCTTATGAACATGAAGTTGATAATCTTGTAGGTAGATTGGATTGATATTAGGATCATAGATTAATTGTAACATGTGAGGGGAAAAAAAGAGAGAGTAGATCTTCAAATCCTCTCTCTGGCTTGAATCACCTTCCTCTATTTGAACCCAACAGTCCATTCTGATCTCGTATCTGAATTTTAGAGTAAAATACCACACCAGCTTATTTGAAATTTTAGATATAGGTATCTTAGGCATTTTTAACAATAGAGAAGGATTGCCAGAGTTAAATCTAGCTCTAACCAAGTCATCCTTCATCAAATTTAAAACCAAATTTTACCCATTCCAAAGAAGAAAAAAGAGAACTAGCACAATCATGCTCGCAAGAAAAATGAAATACCTTTATACATATATGTTCCCAGGCAACAAACAAACGCACCCTTTTATTCAAGAATCGATTTTAGGCCGAAGCTCAATGCCTTCAACAAACAAGTCATATGTCCTGTAATCTCCCTCGAACCCCATCAACCGGATCTCTACTTCACCAGTATTTCCTTGACCATTGAAAAACTCTCCCAGTTCAGTCTCCATCCACTTATCCATTCTTTGCTGTGCAAATTGTCCGCCAGAACCAGAACTAAATCGTCGAATTGCCAAAGAAACAATGTTGGTGATCTCATCACCATCTCCGTCTCCACTTCCATCTCCTCTTTCCCCTTCAAATCTTACGGATGCCTTTGCTGGGAGACCCTTATATCCATACTTTAGCGGCCCCAAATCGAACAGAAGGTACACTACATAAGTTGTTTTTGGGGACAACAATCGAGCCTCTATTTTACCTGAAATATCAAAACAAGGTGCCGCACGAAGATTGGCCTGCTCCCAGAATCTGCATGTGATAAAGATATGCACGTAAGATTTAAATACACTCACAAACAAAGATGACTATCGAATGTGTGATGAATCAGATTGTTTGCATGAGTAGTTTACATATGGAGAATGAAAAGCCAAATATCAAAATGAGATCATTGTGGGCCCCATTTCTCCGAGAGAATTTTGGAGAGAGAGAGAGAGACCTTGACTGTGGCAAATGCCTCCATGTCCAATTAACTGGAAACCTTCCGCATTCAATTGCAAGCTCTCGGGCTCCTAGCATGAAACACTTTTTCCCGCTAGCTTTATCTAAAGAGAAGCTCTGGTTAACAAAAAAAGTAAGAATATAGCGTTACGAAGAGCCTATCCCCTCACTTGTAATATTTTATTGGTATCAATGAAATGTTACTTTCTTTGCTGATAGAAAAAGAGCAAAGAGTCTAAAAGAACACACAGCAAATCTTACAATTTGATTTGAAAAATAAAGACGTAAAAATTCAAAAAAAGACTATATCCAAGTATCCAACTGAAGGCACAAACAAGATTTGGCCCAGTCCTCAGACCAGACAAACTGCAGTCTCACCATTTCCGACCTTGTTTTGGGTCCACTTAGATGATCGAACTCGTTTATGTTGTAAAGTTTGTCAAGTAGAACAAACACGTGAAAAGTCATGTATCGATCAATATCTAATCGGAGCACATTTATTTTGGAAAGAAGAAAGGGTTCTTCAAGATGTAATTAAGTAATGTACCCAATTTTTTTTTTTCCAAAATAAATGTGCTCCGATCACACATGGATGATGGTTCCATATTGGATCGTTTTGACGCAGTTGTTCTACTCAACAAGCTCTACAAATGAACAAATCCGATAATCGAATTGGACCCAAAACCAGAATCGAAAAGGGCTGGAGCCAGACTGCCTCAATAAGAATCATCATATAAGATTGATGCGATTAGGCTACCAGTTTACCACCGTCGAGGAGAACAAAACCGTCAGCCAGGAGAAAGTAGAGTTGTTTCTTGGTGGAGAAGGCCACGGGGTATACCGACCTCGATATGATCTTCCGATGATCGGACGGCAGAAACCTGTCCCATACGTTGTCGGAATCAGCCACCGATTTGAATCCCCTCGAGATGGCCGAAAACCGGCACACATCACGAGGGGATGTTCGGGAGAGAATTTCTATGATCACCAGGCTTTCCGGCAAGGCCGAGAAACAATCCGTTCCCAACTCCGCCATCGTTTTCTCTCTCCTTCTCCCGCACTCTTCACTCTGGCTTTTGGGTAAACACAAATGAGAGCCCATCATATTCAGAAGCTTGTTTGATTAAACTTCTGTTCATATACCAAAGATTAGTCCAGCGTCAACTGCTGGTCTAGGTGATTGTTTCATCTTGTGGTGTCAGATTCGATTTTCTTCACTAATTTTTAGGGCCATTACGCCCCGATGCGTAAACATGTGAAATGGCCGTTGAAAAGATTGTAGGAATGAATTTGAGGTGCACACAAATTAATTCGAAACACGGCGCATTACAAAAAGACAAAAAAAAAAACAAAACAAAACAAAAGATAAGTCAAAAGTTCGAGGGAATTTTCAATTGCAAAGCGGTTCCGCGGTAACGTGCAGAATACCAACGAGAACGACATATTGGAATCACGACGGTGACACCGCACCACCCTAAAGACCATAATTCTATGGGCCGATAAATGATCGCGTCATTCGTTAAAAGTACATAGTTCACGTGTCCTAATTTGTGAGTTGTGTTTATTTGAATTTTTTTTTTGTACTTTGTTAATTTTGCATCAAATTTTTTTGGGTTATTGATTCATCTCGACTAAAGGAAAAAAAATTGTACTTTTATCCAAATATTTTGAGAAATATGGTACAATTTTCAAAATACTTGGATAAAAGTACAATTTTTTTACTTTCCAGACTCTTGTGGTCGAGACGAATCAATAACTCAAAAATTTTTAGTGCAAAACTAATAAATGCGAAAAAAATTCAAATAAGAATAAAACTTTCAAATTTAAGTTAAGTTCAAGAGAACGCAGGCTAATCGGATAAGTGTAGGTTGTTGATCCAATTTTCAAAATTTTCTTCAAAATTCATTTAAATTTAGGATCTTAAATTTTGAATGAAAAATTGAATGAATCACTTACAGTTATTTGAATGAATTGAATTTTGTGCACATATTTTGTCCACATATTATGGTGTGGGCCCACATCGGGTTTCACAAATACGATCCGGCCCGTCCATTAAATGTAAAATATTTTTCGCAGGTAGGCGAAAAATTGGCTTAATCCGATACCTATATGTGCTAAATCCAATCATTTAATTTTTTATTATCCTGAAATCTGAATGAAAGTAATTTAAAACTTTTTATTATCCTCAAAAAATGTTTTACAAAAAATAATTCAAAACAAATATAGGCTGTGTTCGGTTGCAATTTCCGGCAATTTCCGGAAAACATTTCCGGAAAAAGTGTAATCATTACCCCTATTCACTTTTCTCTCATTCCAATCATTACTCTTTCATCCAATCATTACCCCTATTCTCTTCCAATAATTACCCCTATTTCTCTCTCTATCTCTCTCCAATCATTACCCTATTTCCAATCATTATCCCTATTTTTCTATCAAATCATTACTCCAACAACCATTTCTAAAAACCAAACCAATCACTAACTCAAAATTTTTTTTCCGGATCATTACCCAGAAATTGCAACCGAACTAGACTTTTTGAATTACATTTGTCTTTATTCAAAATAATTATAATATATATATATATATATATTTTTTGTGATTCTTTCGATTGGGACTAACTAATAACCCAAAATTTTTTTGAAGCAAAACTAAATACAAAAAAAAAATCCGACTTAATTATTAAGCCAAAACACCCTCAAACAATTTGCTAGCGTCTATTCTAATATAGAAAAGGAGAACACTAAGAGCATCCGCAATGGGAATAATCAAAATTAATAATCAAAATGTGCCACGTCAGCATTTGATTATTCATTTAGTTCATAATCAAACTTAACAATCTCTATC